GTTAGCATAGCATGTTATACACATTAGCATAACATATTATACATGTTCGCATAGCATGTTATACACATTAGCATAACATGTTATACACATTAGCTTAATGTGTTATACAAGTTAACTTAACATGTTATACATGGTAGCGTAACATGTTATACACATTAGCATAACATGTTATACATGTTAGCTTAATGTGTTATACACGTTAGCTTAACATGTTATACACGTTAGCATAGCATGTTATGCACATTAGCATAACATGTTATACACGTTAGCATAGCATGTTATACACATTAAGACGTAAGATGTTTATTTTAAATTTCCTTAAATCTCGTTGATAAATTGCATTTTTTATTAATCTTTTTTGTAAAAGTTTTTTTTATTTTTTAACTAAGGATTTTGGGGGCCTGATGGAGATTGTCCAAGAGCCACTTTTGGCCCTCAATCCTTAAGATGCCCATGTCTGCTTTAGAAGAAAAATCTTTTTTGTTATGTATTTTCAAAATGATGTTTAATTAAATGTTTACTGTTTTTTGGCTCCATCACTTGTCATTAATCAGTAATTAACCGTGTGGAGGAATATCCATCTGATGTGCTCACTAAACAAATGTCACGTTCTCAATAATTCATGTGACCTTTAGACTCCAGATTAGTCGTGAAACACTAAGAAGTCATTTTTTTAAAGCGTTCTAAAGTTTGTACTTCCTTAATGTTTCCTACCTTTCTTTTATTGAGCTGTTCTTGTTTGTATTTGTTAGATTAATATGAATTGGATCAGACTTTTCTAAAGGGCTACAACTCTTAATTGTGTAGATCCTCTGATCCAGCCGACACTTCGTGTGCAATGTGAGCTGAATAGAGGAGATGATTTGAGGGAAATGAAGCGGAGGTTCACAGAGGAGTCATCTCTTTTTAATGAGAAATGTAACAAACTGTAATACTGTTTGATTTGGTTCTTCACTATGTTTACACATGTGTGCGTTTGTTTGTTTGTTTGTGTGTGTGTGTGTGTGTGCAGGCTGCATTCTCAGATTTCCTCCAGAGAAGCTCCAGGGATTTGTCCAAGCACGTCAGAGTGGTGGTGAGTGCTAACACGCTCTTCCTGCCTCGGTCCGGATCGTCTTCCATGTCGACATATCTGAGCGGGGCGATTAAACAGGGCGTCCTTCCACTGTCGGCATGCCGAGGTGTCCCTCGGAGACGATTTAATGTCCTCCTCAGTCTCAGGAACTCTGCGGATCAAAGCAATTCCGATAATTATTGAACTACGGCTTATGGAAACGTCAAACATGAATAAAAAATGATTGTCCAAGCAGCTAAAGAGCTTTTTTAATCCAATAATATAAACTAAAATACAACATATATCACACCAGAATCACCGGGGGTGAGGGGGAGGGGTAGTTAATTATACCAGTGGTCACACACAAGCAGTCTAATCAATTCACTTAAACTTCAATCAATGTTAGACATTTGCCCGTTTCGTGTAATCTGTGACAACAAATCAATTAAAATAACTTCTAGCTGTCTACGCTTGTCTCTTTGTCCCTGCTGAACACATCGATGTGTAAAAATCTCAAATAAAACGTTGTTCCTGTCAAAGGAAGAGCAGGAGAACAAACGTTACTCTAAAAGAAACTTGTTCTCTTGTACATGGGTCGTCTGGCACACAGAAACATGATGCATTTCCTGTCGTTTTGTATTTATTTAATAAAAAGAGTTAATCAGCGTTAAGTGGTGGCTCAGTGAATCATTCAGCCATAAAACAGCTCCTACACTCAGGATGGGTTTCTACTGTAGTTTCTCCCACAGGCAGCTTAACTTCCATTTATTTTTTCCTCAAGATATTTTGTTTCCAGCAGCCGTCACAAAGATACAATCTCTCCCCTTTCTTTAATCGAATCTATGAAAAATAAAACTCTGAACAGTATTAACAGTAAGCCTCAGCTGTGTGCTTAAATTAGGGGTGTCCAAATGTTTTCATCTGTGGACCAAAACTTTTAAGATGAAAGGAGTCAAGAGCCACAAAAATGTGAATATAAAACATATAATAATAATAATAATATAATATAAAGTGTACATATTTTTAGTGATTTTTAACTCAACGTAAATAATATTTTGGAGAAAGGACAAAACTGACTAATTTTGGTGGAGGTGTTCTAAATTGTTGTAATCCAAAACATTTAAAAAAATATATTTTTTATTTTTTTTATTTAATTTATTTAATTTTATTAATTTATTGCCAAATGATTGTATTTTTTTTTTCCATTTTTTATTTATTCATTTATTAATTAATTTAGAAAGAAATAAACAAAACAAAATAATTTAAAAAATTGAATGAAAAGGGTGCAGAAAGAAGAAAAAAATTCTTATATCTGCCCCTTATTAAAAGAAAATAAATAAATAATTAACTACAAACAAACAACAACTCTGGCTTGAACATCTCCAAACTGAAAACAAAAAGCATCAGGTATCCTTCACATGGCACCATGCTTTCCCAACAACTTTACCTTAATCATCTTTTTAAACATATAAATTGTTTTAGAAAATTTTAAGGCGATATCAAGGAAATTCCACAATCCTATTCCCTGAATTACAACGCAGCTCCTTCAGACTTGTTCTAAAGGGAGGTTTTGCAAACATTTTACAACCCTGGCTTAAATGAAATAAATTAAGAGAACAAATGAAGTTTCAGGACTACTAAACATGATTCTTTAGTATTTTCCATCTTCTGTATCGCTCAAATGTATGTTTGGTGTTTTTATAAAATCAGACCCTCAGTGGAAACATTGAGGGATAAAGTGAGGCAGGAGATCATTTCCTCTGAAGATTGTGTGAAGATTTTTTATTTGTAAGACTCCTCACTCCTCCAGAGAGCAAACTGTTCGGTATTTTAGTTTTGTTTTATTTTTTTGTTGGACTAATCACGTCCAACAAAACAGAATAAACTGATACTAAAAAAAACCATGAACAGAGACTGAATCTTAGAGAGGGTTATAAAGTAAATGCTAGATCTAAAATAAACAACAAACCACAAGTTATTTTCTTTAATCTTCTTTTATTTCAGTGTGACGGCACAGATCTAACAGCCAAGATCCAGGAGCTGAAGTTTCAATGCATCGTGTTTCTCAACATTCCCAGGTAGATGAAGCAACAGAAAACACTGACGCTGTAGAGTCTGGACGTGTTTTAGAACATCGTCCCTTTATTTAAACGTTTTCTTGTCTTTTTTTATTTTGTTTAAAGTAAAAGTTAAGATGTTGACGAGCAACGAAAGAAAAATAGTCGCACAATTTGAGTTCATTGTTTTGAATCTTTATGCAACAACGAACAGACAAACGGCACCGTCTGAGATGTTTCGTGTTCTAAACGTGTGCAGGTACTGTGCGGGCACCATGCCGTGGGGAAACACCGGCGACCATCGAGACTTCGAGCCGCAGCGCCACGACGACGGCTGCATCGAGGTGATCGGCTTCACGATGGCCTCGCTGGTGAGAAAAACAAAAAGAAGGGAGAACTCAAAGACACTCATAGCTGAGGCAACAGGAAGACATGCGTCTCCAGATTCTTTCTGAGCGACTCCGTTTTGTCCACCAGGCGGCGCTGCAGGTCGGAGGTCACGGAGAGAGACTTCACCAGTGTAGAGAAGTCGTCCTCACCACCTTCAAAACAGTACCTGTGCAGGTAAACGCATATATTTAAGATTAAAAAGGAGCTCCCTTCTGTAGAACATGAAGTATTTCTGGACAAATATAGGTGAGATTACTAAAACATGAAAAGTTTGAACGGGATCTGTCAAAGTAAACATCCATCCGCTGGGAGGTCAGGTTGCCATGGTGATGCTGGGTGCAGCATTTTACCAGAGTCAGACTGAAAACACTCACACAGACTGCTGGAGAAATGAGTAACATATGTCACATGGATTTTATAGTTGGAAAAATGTGAACATATGGAGTTAAAATCAAAGTGATGTTTCATTTACTGTAATTAAATAATAATAAAAATGCTCTCAGTGTGAAAGAAGACACATTTTTCTACATGTTCATGTAAAACTTAAAGTTAAAGTCTGCGGCGTCTGACCTCCCTATCCTAATTCCTAACTCTATACTTAATATTTTAACCAAGACTATTTTCTGTAAATTATTAATAATTTTAACAATGATGCAGGTCACGTTTAACAAGAGCCACACCAGTTGTCACATTAATGACCCAGTTTTGATGCTTAAATCTGTATTTCACATCAGCTTGAGTTCATTAGTATTTAACAACAAATAGTGGGACTGAGCTTTACCTAAAGTCTAATTAAGTAAAAGTATGATAAAGTATTAGATTATGTAAATTGAAAGTTTGAGACTAACCTTTTATAGAAGATGAAAATAATAGTCGTTTTAGGGTGTAAGAACTCATGGATTTAATATTCTGTGAGTCTTAATATTAATCTAGGGAGTAATCTTTGTTGATGAATGAGAGAAAAAACACAACTAGAAGAATTTGTGAACAGTGTGAAAGTTTATTGCTCAATGATTTTGTGAAAGCTGCTTGAAATACACCAGTAGCTGAAAAATGGTGAGATGAAGCTGGAAGAAGCACAAAAACTAAAAACAGAACCAAAAAAATTTAAAAAAGAGGTTAAATTTGTACAAAAAAAGTTTTAAAGAGCAAAAAAAGCTGAACTTTGCAAAAAATAAAAACAAAAAGAATACAATAACTGAAAAAAGAAGTATCAAAAAGCTAGCAAAATACTGAAACATGTTAGCTGATAGTTGAAGTAGTGAAACATCAGCTAAGAAGCAAAAGTAGAGGAAAGCTAGTAGAACACTACACTATGCTAGATTAATGGTAAAAGCATTAGCAAAGAGCAGGGCAAGTTTAGCATTAGTAGAATTAGCATTAGCACAAGTAGCATTTATAGATTTACATTAAAGAGCAGAGTTAACATGGCCAGGGCAGAATACAGGTAAAGCACAGCAGATATAGCGCTTGCTGGACTAAGTTAGCACAAACAGAGCAGAATTAGTATAACACAGGGCAGTTAGCATAAAGCAGGGCAGAATGTTAGCATAAAACAGGGCAGAATGTTAGTATAAAACAGGGCAGAATGTTAGCA